GCTAATGGTTTTGAACTGCTGGCCTTGTGGTTGGTTAACAGCCAAACTTATAACCACTATTCCTCAGGGCTCCTAGTCTTAGCATGGTAGGTCTCTTTTATTTAAAAAAAATTTTTTTTAAGCAAAAGGGAAAACATGTATTGGAGCCCATATAGGAAACCCCAGAGGGGCCCAGCATCCCCTACTGTGTCGGCATGCCAGCAAAGGGTCACACCACTCACTGCACCCCCATGTCCCAGCGGGACGCCCCTTGAGCCCAGCCCCAAAGCCCCAGGACTGGCTGGAGGTGGGGACGTACACACACACACACACACCCACACACACACACCCTTCAAGTCACTCAGACTCACTCTAGCTCATACTGGGCACTGGCTGTAGTGGCCCAGAGTATACCTGCCCCGTCGGTTTTCGAGGCTGTCAATCTTGAGAGCAGAAGCCTTTTTTCTCCCCTGAGGAGCAGATGGCTGAGCCTAGTATGTCTCCCAGTATGTCACCCATTACACTACCAGGGCTCCCTAACTTTGGAAGTACAAAAACAAAGTGTAAACAAACAGAAAACATACCAGTTATCCTTGTGGGTTATTGGGGGGTCAGGAGGAATAGCATAGCTCTATACAGTGTAATTCTATACATTGTAGATCCGGTATTATAATGTAAGTAATTTCCCCACATAATTACAAATACTTGGTAAACACAAATTTTTAATGGCTTCAAAATACTCCATTACATAGAGATATCATAACTCACTAGGCCTTTCATTCCTCTGATGCTGGACATTTGAGTTTCCAAATTTCTACTTTTTTAATGCTACATTAACTGTTAAATTTGTCCCCTTGAGTATAATTTTTGAAATCATTTTATTTGGGGGCTTGTGCAACTCTTTATCACAATCCATACATCCATTGTGTCATAAGCACATTTGTACATTTGTTCCCATCATCATTTTCAAAACATTTTCTTACTGCTTGAGCCCTTGGTGTCAGCTCCTCTTCCCCCTCCCCCTCCCTCCCTCAAGTATAATTTTTATCTGCATTTTAGATTATTTCCTAGAAAGAGATCCCCAGGAGAATAATTGGGTCAAAGGGTGGGCACAATTTCAAGACTTTTTGATTCATATCATCAAATTGCTTGCTGGATAGATCGGGCCAATTTGCATCTTTGTGGTAGTTCTTTTATATACTGAAATCACCTTTTCAGTTTCGCTTCTAATCTTGGGTAGAATTGAGTGCAAGACTTATTTTGGGGTTTGACCATGGAATAGACGTTTAGTGCCATTAAAATGCAGACCGTATGCTCAGCCTGGAATAGGTGTTTTTAGAGTACTTCATGACTAGAGGGTCAGTCACTTCCCTGCACAGTTGCAAATGGCCCTTGCTAGAGTCAGAAATGCCTGAGTCAGATTAAGAACTGCCCTAAGACCAAGTGAGCTCTTTAGGAAAGCTGTTTCCAAGGTGTATTCCTCCTACTGTGAAGATGACTTTAATGATACTCACTCAACATCCACAAGGCCAAGTGCTCAGGGAAGGTCTGTTGGGGGGATGAATAGGAAACCTTTCTGTCGATTTAGTCAAGGTGGGTGGTGTGTGAATGTGTCAGGTTCAGAGTGGGCCCTGCTAAGATGGAAGTTGGGGGTCTTATATATGCTAGGCCAGAGGATAGAGCTGAGGCCGAAGGAAGGGTCTAGTGAATCGGAAATGGCTGCTGACTTTTGAGATGTGCGGGTCCATGGACGGTGACAAGGGGCAGCTCTTGAGGAGCCTTCCTTGCGATCCCCTAGATCCCTGAGGCACTGCTTGCAGGCAGGCTTTGAAGGAGTGCTACTTGTCTCTCAGTGGACAGCCCTAGGAAAAGTAAAAATTTGGTAGTAAACTCTTGCTAGGGTTCATGGGACACCTGGGGATGTGTGCCTAACTTCCACCCCTATCCTCAGCTGGAAGATCTGGAAGTCACTGTAGTTGATCATATTCAAAAAGTTATGAAGATGAACTTTGAAGCAGCCTGGGATGAAGTAGGGGATGAGTTTGAGAAAGAAGAAACTTTCACTCTGTCTACCATCAAAACACTTGAGGGTAAGTCCTAGGGATGCCGTCTCTGGCTGGCTTGCCTTTCAAGACCCTTGGCTGCTATGGATATGCCCCTCATTTCTTCTTTCCCTTCTTTCCCCCTAAGAGTCCAGAACCATGTCTAGAGCACACGCTTCAAAGGCCATTTCATAAAGAGCCCCTTAGAGCAGGGTTGGGGATAGGAGAGTGGTGGGTAGACAACACGTATGACTCAATGGTGCTGGGATTTCTCCTTACAGAGGCTGTGGGTAATATCGTGAAATTCTTGGGAATGCATCCCTGTGAGAGGTCAGACAAAGTACCGGATAACAAGAACACCCACACGTTGCTCCTGGCTGGTAAGCAGCATTTCAAAGTGGGGAGGGGGTAGTTACATCCTGGATGCCACTGTCTCCTACGCTGAGGACACCCACAGGCAATTGGGGGGTTCAAAATCCATCGTTTCAAATTCACAAAGTATGAAGATTTACAATAAAGCATTTCCCTCCCCACTGGAAGGCAGCCAGTTCTCTTCCCAACAGGCACTTACTACTCCAGTTAGAAAGGCTGGTACAGCCTTCCAGTAGATATAAGAACCAGTGTGAATCCCACTCCCCCTTTTGTGACTCAAATGTTTATGTACAAGTAGAATGTGTTGTTTTGCACTTTGCTTTTCACCTGCCAGTACATCTTGGAGCTCCTCCCTATTAATACAAATAATTTCCTCATTCTTTTTTAGAACTTTTACAGTATTTCACTGTGTGGATATACCATGTTTTATGAAACCAGTCCCCTAGTGATGAACACTTGGATTGTTTCCAATCTATTATTAAACTATGCTACATCCACATATATAGACACACACGTGTGTGCCTACTTTTAATTCCTTCCCACCCCCTCCCCCAGAGCCCTTATTTTGCATGTGTGCACTGAGGGGCCAACTGTAGGTTAAAGTGCTAAAAATGGCTTTCCCAGGTGAGGCTGATTTGCATTTCTCCTTTGGGAATAGTTCCAGGTTGCCTTCTGTAGGAATGATAGCCCCTTCTGGTGACATTGGCCAGTACCGTGTGTAATCAAAGGAGAACCTGTGCCAGTCTCGCTGACATGAGAGTATCTTAATGTATGTTGTTTTTTGTTATAACAAAACATTTGCCATTTCAGCAATCTTTAGTAGTACAGTTCAGTGACGAGGTTGTTTTAATTTAATTTCTTGTATTTTAAGTGAAGTTGATTGTCTTCTCAAGGATCGAAGAGCCATTTGTATTCCTTCCTTTATGAATTGGTTTCATGTGCTTTGCTCAGTTTTCTACTGGGTTGGCTATAGGTCTTTCCTAGCAGGAGTACGATTTCTAAAAAGTATTTCATCATAGATATTTTCAAACATACACAAAAATAATATAAGGAACCCCCATGTATTCATTTTCCAGTTTTCAACAACTAACAATAGCTAGGCCCCTATCCATTTTCCCCTGCACACAATAAAGCAAATTTTATCATAAATGTAGCATTTTATCATAATTGTTTCCATATCTGTATTTCACTAAAAGATATTACCCTTAAAAACAAAAAAAACCCACCTTCAACACAGTACAACTAAAAAAAATTAAATAACCTTTTTTTAAAAAGTCAGTACAACTGTCACACCTAACGGATGGGACCACCCCCACCTGCACCAGTGTTTATAAACAGAGCTGGGGGAGGATGCTCTGCTTCAGTGCCCTGCTCTCAGCTGACAGCCCTCAAACCCATCTGCATCTAGCCCTGAATCATCCCAGTCCCCTGGGCCTCCTAGACACCTGCTCTGTGGTTCTCTCATGGGACAGTCCCCTTCATCTGTTCGTAGCTTCAGCCAACATGAGAGAGCCTCTGACCAATCAAGCACAAGTCTTACAGTGTCATTACATCCTTTGAGTCTTAGCAGGGGCCGGAGATATAGTTAGTAGTAGTGTTCCCTCCACTTAGTAGTTGTACACACTGGGAGGTAAAGTGACGTGCCCAAGGCCTTCCTTACTCAGGGATTTCAGCCCAGCTCTTGTTCCAGGCTCACTGCCCACTTCATTGATCCGTGGCTACAATTGCCACCCCAGCTTCCTCTCTACAGCCTCCTCCTGCCTTTTAACGCTTCCACTTCTTTTGCCCCTTCTAGGTGTGTTCCGGGGTGGTCATGACATCCTGGTGCGCTCCCGGCTGCTGCTTTTGGACACAGTGACAATGCAGGTTACAGCCCGAAGCTCAGAAGAACTGCCAGTAGATATCATCTTGGCATCTGTGGGCTAAGGGGCCAGTCTTTAGAAGCCCCTCTCCTGCCCATTTCTCCTCACCACTACACAGAAGTCTTGCCTTCCTGGTGAACCCAGTGAAAAATCCCTCCCTCAGCTTCTATATTCAGAAATGATTAAGAATTGTTTAGGTTTGTTTTTTTTTTAGGTCGCCTGCTGCCAACCACCCCCTGTCCCTGTCCTCCCATTCCTAAGAGTGCCAGGATTTGGCTGCAGGGGGAGGGACATTGTAAATGAATAAAATATTTATACCTCTTGAATTTCACTATCCTGAAATCACCATCTCATAAATAAATCAGCATGTATTTATTAAACAGCTGCTACTTCTCCAGACTCATGTTGAGTGGTTCCCCTTCCCCTTTGTGACCCCTTGCCTCCCCAACCTCCACTAGTGCTGTCGCACTTTGGCTGTTGTATTTAAGGATGTCCCTGGCACTGAGAACAGGGACCGGAGCAGTGAAAAGGATTGCTGAGAACAAATTCCAACAGGTACTGAGTTAGCACTCTTACTCATGAGTGCTTTACCAACCGAGGCCCCACCAACCGGTTGGGGTGCGATACCTGAGTGTTACCTGCGTCCTTTGATTGAGGTAAGCTTGCTCTGAGGTTCAGTCCAACCATGTGGCTAGGAGAAGAAATGGGAACATTCTCTTGGCTGCAGGTAGAGAACTCCCTCCTTTAAGGTCTCAAGGAGCAGGCTCAGAGGGCTGG